CGCACCTCCTCCCAACTTCCCAACTACGAATTCTCTGCATTTATATTCACACCACACATTGCCCTCAGGGCTGACATCTCCACTGCCTCAGCCTTCTCCTCGCTGCAACATTCATCACCCACGCTTCACACCCATATAAGAGCGTTGGTAAAACTATACTTCATACATTCCCCTCTTTGCCTCCAAGGACAAAGTTCTTTGTTTTCCCCAGACTCCTAAGTGCACCACTCACTCTTTTTCCCTCATCAATTCTATGATTCACTCATCTTTCATAGACCCATCCGCTGCACGTCACTCCCAAATATCTGAATACGTTCACCTCCTCCATACTCTCTCCTCCAATTGATATTCAATCTTTCTCACCTAATCTTTTTGTTATCCTCATAACCTTACTCTTTCCTGTATTCACCTTTAATTTTTTCTTTTGCACACCCTACCAAATTCATCCACAATCTCTGCAACTTCTCTTCGAATCTCCCCAAAAGCACAGTGTCATCAGCAAGAGCAGCTGTGACAACTCCCCCTTTGTGTGTGATTCTTTATCTTTTAACTCCACGCCTCTTGCCACGACCCTCGCATTTACTTCTCTTCAACCCCCTCTATAAATTATTAAAAAAACCCGGTGCATACCATCCTTGTCTAAGGCCACTTTTACTGGGAAAAAATTTTTCCCCCTTTTCCCACATACCTAACTGAGCCTTTACTTCCTCTTAAAAAATCTTCACTCTTCGTAACCTACCCCCTACACCATACACTTAAATCGCCACATTGCCCCCCCTACCACCCTGTCATGCCTTTTAAAAACCCTAAAAGCACAAAGACCTCTTTAGCCTTTTCTAAATATGTTCACTTATTGTTTCACTGTAAAAAACCTGGGCCCACACCCCCTCCTTTCCTAAAGCCCCCTGTTCATCTGCTATCCTATTTTCCGTTTACTCTTAATTCTTTTAAATTTTAACTCTACCCTAACTTTCCAGGTACACTCAAAAGACTTTCCCCCCATAATTTTTGCACTCTCTTTTTTCCCCCCTTTTCCTTTATAAAAGGAACTATGCATGCTCTCTGCCCAAACCCCAGGTACCTTACCCCTTCCATACATTTATTAAATAATTGCACCAACCACCCCAAAAATATACCCCCACCTGCTTTTAACATTTCTATCTTTATCCCATCAATCCCGGCTGCCTTACCCCCTTTCATTTTACCTCCCTGCCTCACGAACTTCCCCACACTCACAACGGGCTTTCCTCACTCCTACAAGATGTTATTCCTCCTTGCCCTATACACGAAATCACAGCTTCCCTATCTTCATCAACATTTAACAATTCCTCAAAATATTCCTTTCCCATCTTCCCAATACCTCTAACTCTCCATTTAATAACTCTCCTCTCCTATTTTTAACTGACAAACCCCATTTTTCTCTAGGCTTTCTTAACTGTTAATCTCACTCCAAACTTTTTCTTATTTTCAACAAAATTTGTTGATAACATCTCACCCACTCTCTCATTTGCTCTCTTTTTACATTGCTTCACCACTCTCTTAACTTCTCTCTTTTTCTCCATATACTCTTCCCTCCTTGCATCATTTTCTACTTTTTAAAAACTTCTCATATGCTAACTTTTTCTCCCTTACTACTCTCTTTACATCATCATTCCACCAATCGCTCCTCTTCCCTCCTGCCCCCACTTTCCTGTAACCACAAACTTTGCTGAACACTCTAACACTACATTTTTTAAACCTACCCCATACCTCTTCGACCCCATTGCCTATGCTCTCATTAGCCCATCTATCCTCCAATAGCTGTTTATATCTTACCCTAACTGCCTCCTCTTTAGTTATAAACCTTCACCTCTCTTTCCCTGTGCTTCTATTCTCCTTGTATCCCATCTACCTTTTACTCTCAGTGTAGCTACAACTAGAAAATGATCTGATATATCTGTGGCCCCTCTATAAACATGTACATCCTGAAGTCTACTCAACAGTCTTTTATCTACCAATCATAATCCAACAAAACTACGTCATTTCGCCCTACATCATATCGTGTATACTTATTTATCCTCTTTTCTTAAAAATTTTATTACCTTAAACTAAACCCCCTTTCTTATACAAAGTTCAATCAAAGGGCTCCCATTATCATTTACACCTGGCACCCAAACTTACTACCACAACCTCTCTAAAAGTTTCTCCTACTTTAGCATTCAAGTCCCCTACCACAATTACTCTCTCACTTGTTCAAAGGCTCCTATACATTCACTTAAAAAATCTCCCAAAATCTCTCTCTCTCCTCTGCATTCCTCTCTTCTCCAGGTGCATACACGCTTATTATGACCCACTTTTCGCATCCAACCTTTTCTTTAATCCACTAATTCTTGAATTTACACATTCATATTCTCTTTTCCCCTTTCCCAAATATGATCATTTAACATTACTGCTACCCCTTCCTTTGCTCTAACTCTCTCAGATACTCAGATTTAATCCCTTTATTTCCCCCCATGAAACTCTCCTACCCCCTTCAGCTTTGTTTCGCTTAGGGCCAGGACATCCAACTTCTTTTCATTAAATAACATCAGCAATCATCTGTTTCTTGTCATCCGCACTACATCCACGCACATTTAAGCAACCAGTTTTATAAAGTTTTTCTTCTTCTCTTTTTTAGTAAAATTTTATACAGGAGAAGGGGTTACTAGCCCATTGCTCCCGGCATTTTAGTCGCCTCATACGGGCACGCATGGCTTACGGAGGAAAGATTCTTTTCCACTTCCCCATGGACAATAGAAGAAATAAAAAAAGAACAAGAGCTATTTAAGAAAAGGAGAAAAAACCTAGATGTATGTATATATTATATGCATGTGCGTGTCTGTGAAGTGTGACCAAAGTGTAGTAGGAGTAGCAAGAATCCCTGTTATCTTAGCGTGTTTATGAGACAGAAAAAGAAACCAGCAATCCTACCATCATGCAAAACAGTTACAGGTTTTTGTTCACAGTCATCTGGCAGGACGGTAGTACTTCCCTGGGTGGTTGCTGTCTACCAACCTACTACCTACTTAAAATATCCTAAATGTTACTCACAATTATATCACACAAATGTTAAACCCAACTTTGTTATTTTTTTAAATACACTACCTAACAGAATACTCCATTCTACTGAATGAACAGCAATGCATGCAACCATTGGACCTGTCTTTGTAATACTCATTTGTATTTTATGTTATCTGTTTACAATAATGTCTTATCACTGATTTCAAACATTGCTTAGTTAATCTTAAGTTAATTTTAAGCCAGCCATAATGCTATGCATATAAGTGGCTTTGCTTGCTGCTCTTACCACACTTGATTTCTTACAATAAATACTACTTGTCTCACCCTAGTTAAGACTAATATTTTAAGGGAAGTAATTAGTGCACTATGTGTGTATTGTACTTTTTTAATGTTTTTTGATGCCTAGTTCTATTGCTAACTTAATATATGTTAGTGTAAACTTGTTTTCTAGTATTTGTATGCATTTATAAAGTAGAAAAAAAGGGTGTTCCACTTTATGGCGGTAGCCTGGAACCTAACCTACTGTATTTAGCTCTCCAGAGCAGGGTTTGTGACCCTCAGCTATCAGTAATATACAGGGCCAATACCCCAGCAACCACAAAAAAGCTATACGTTACGGCTGGCAGGCCTGCACTGCTTCGCTCATACGCTGTAAGATGCTTCCCGTTCCGGCTCCTCTTCTATTTCTTCTTCGCTGTATTCACTAACTCCTCTATCACTGTATGCACTATACACTGGAGTCACTAACTCAACTACCCTTGTCTTTTATCTCCCTGGCTTGGGTCACACTTATTCTGTTTGAATTTTGGTATTGGGATGTGGCAATACCAACTACACCAACACTAGGCCTATGGCCATTCCACTCTCTCTTGGCACTGATTCAAATTGTTTTCATGTGTCTGTATCTTTCGCCCCCTTTTCTGATTGGGACAGATTGTGTATCACTTCTCGGGTTATTCACTGACACTGTCACTGACCCTGGCAGTGGCTTTGATTGGCAGAGATGTGTAGTGTGACCTAAGTGTAAGTAGAAGTAGCAAGACATACCTGAAATCTTGCATGTTTATGAGACAGAAGAAAAGACACTAGCAATCCTACCATCATGTAAAACAATTACAGGCTTTCGTTTTACACTCACTTGGCAGGACGGTAGTACCTCCCTGGGCGGTTGCTGTCTACCAACCTACTACCTATAAGCATTATAAATATAATAATAATTATAGTATTGTGCATCAGAAGTGAAGCACTTAAGATAATATATAAAATAAATCTAAACTTATGGAAAGAAACAATAAAAGTAAAGCATGAAACTTCAAAATTGAAGCAAAAAACTTCAAAAGTGAAGCATGAAGTATGTTTATAGATCAATGATGAGGGGAAAAACTTCTAAGATACATAAACCACCATATGAAATGAGAAAGAGTACTACCCAGGCAGACTGGGTCAAGTAACTGAATGTAGGTAAATGGTTCAGAGAACTGACAGTTTGATGAATTAGACACTTGTGCAACACCTGGGCTGAGGAAGTCACTGGTTGGTGAAATGTTTCCACAATGAAGATACCCAAGTGTTGCACAAGTGTTTAATTCATCAAATAACTGAAGCTTCCTCCTGAAGTGAGACTGGTAAGGGAAAAATATAGAAAAAGGTGACTGGCAAAATTCAGCAGAAGCAAGTTTACCAATTAAAGTGTAATTACAAGGGCATGGTTGGTAAATGTATCTTGAAGACACTCAAAATGTTTTGAAAAAAAAAAAAAGCCAAAGAAAAAAGCAACTTAAAAAAAAATATTCAGAGAAACCATTCAAGAGTAAATGTACAGAGCACACACAAAACTACACAGATCTCCAGCATACTGTTACTAATTAAAATTAAAGTATTTCACTGGCAACAGCTCCCTACTTTATCAATATTTTATTTGTTAAAGTGATATTACAAGTACCATACTTGAATGTGCTTACCTGGGCAGCCATAACTTCAGCAAACTCATCTACACACTGAGGAAGAGAAAGCCACTTGATAGGTGGGAAGATGAATGTGATAAACCAGGCACAAGCTTTCATTATCTGAAGATCCCTCCTGTGGGAAGGAGTGAAATATTTTGTAAGTGATTGCCAGACAAAAAAAAAAAAAAAATAGAAAACTGTTTAACCCTTTCAGGGTCCAAGGCCCAAATCTGGAGTCACGCACCAGTGTCCAAGAATTTTCCAAAAAAAATTTGTTATTTTTTCTTATGAAATCGTAGAGAATCTTTTTGTGAAGGTAATAAAACAAAAAGTACAAAATTTGGTGGAAAATTGACGAAATTATGCTCTCGCGAATTTTGATGTGTCAGCGATATTTACGAATCGGCGATTTTGCCGACTTTGACTCCCATTTTAGGCCAATTACATTATTCCAATCAACCAAATTCTTAGCTATTTCACTAGTATTACTTCTATTCTATCGATTGAGCACAAGAAATCGCCAAGTCAACTGTTTCAACTACAAAATAAAGTGATCGGAAATTATAATTTGGCCAATTTAACACAAAGTTCAAAATATTCCAATTTCAAAATAGGGTCCAGAATGAACAATGTAGGCATTCCTGGCACTAAACTAACATTTCCTCTGTTCATTAGTTATGTTTTGAGGCTTTACAAATAAATTCCATTTTGATTTTTTATTCACATAATGAATTTTTATTCACACCAAAAAATAGAAGATTTACTCTTATGCAATACTGTAATAATTGTATAAATATCATCACCATATTTGTGAATGTATATTAGACCCACCAGCTGACGTGTATTAGATGTGTGAGGTCGTTTGTTTACTCTTGAATATCGGCAAAAATTTAACATTTCCGCTACTTTGAGCTCAGTTTCAAGCCATTTGCAATGCTAAAACCAATCAAAATCATCTCTATTTCTGTAATATGTCTTCCATTCTATCAAATGAGACCAAGAAATCGCAAATACAACTATAAAAAACATACGAAAAAACACTGCAAAGTTGCTGTTTTAATCGAAAAATCATGATTTCATTTTTTTTCTCTCATTATACACAGTGTGCTGCAGGATCTGTTTTATGTGGTGCACACATACCACATAGATGTATTTCTCATATCTAGGCCCAAATGTACCACTCACAGTTTATCAGAGTGAGCTGAGCTCATGGCGTAGATCTACGGTTTGGACCCTGAACGTAAAGCCGTAGATCTACGGGACGGACCCTGAAAGGGTTAAGCAAATCAGTTTTTTTTATTTATCAGGACAAATGCTTTAATGATTAAAAATCAGAAAACTTGTATTAATCCCTTATACTGTAACTTGAACTTATGAAAATACCTGCAGTAGAATTAACTGCACAGGCTTGTCACAAGAAGCAAAATTTAAAACAAACTGTTTCAAATACAACAGAACCTTGCTGAAATCCTCTTTCACAGAAAATTTTCCAAATTTCATACATGATCATGGATAAAATTAAACTGAGTTAAAGGGCACAACCCATGAAGAGAGGCTAATGAAAATGAATCTAATGACATTGGAGGATAGAAGAACCAAGGAAGATATGATAAGAACACACAAAATACTCAGGGAAACTGATAGGGTAGACAGGGACAGACTGTTTGAGAGGCAAGAACAGGAATTCAGTCACAGCTGGAAGTTAAAGACAGGTAAGTCACAGGGATGTCAGGAAGTATTTTTTCAGTTTCAGGGTGGTTGGAAAGTGGAATAATATCAGTGAAAATGTGGTTTAGACAGGCTCCATACACTACTTGAAGAACAGGGATGAATGAGCCCAAGAGGCTAGGAGGGAGTGAATCTGGCAAGCAGCAAGGTGAAAGGTGGGCCTAGGAGCTAAAATTCGACCCCTATAGTCATATATAGGTGAGTACATATAGGAGAGTATGTACCTTTATGAAGCAACAGAACTTGCATGTTTCTACCCATGGTGGACTCAACAAACTGTCACATTATTAAGTCCTTTATTGTTATGCAAGAATATCCGGAAATACAACCGAAGTTGTATGTGCCATTAATTTCTAACAACGTATGAGTTAAAGGAAAATATAATATTAGCACTTCAAAGATAGTGTCTTACCCAAAGGCTGACTGTACACCTGGGTGAAGAATTTTAATGGCCACAGGTACAAGTCCATCCAAGTCCTCTGGCGGAGCCTCATCCATTGGCAGAGATTTGTCAAGACCACTTTCCTGCCACTCCTGTAGTGAAAATTCTTAAAATGAAACAGGCCTGGATATAATGTCAATACAGTACATATTTTTTATTTTATTTTATATCAAAGGAAAGATCTAAACCTGCAGAGGTCAAGCATCACATGGGGAATGGGAAGCATTCAAGACTGAACTAAGGAAGGGGAAGGCAAATAAAGTTCCTTAGATTAAGAGACCTTCAACAGCATCAAGGTACCTCCTTGAAGGGGTACAGTATGTGCTGTAATATGGATACCATATTGTTTCAGTTTTGTTTAAAATTCACAAATCATCAGTCTATCAGTGTTTAAATGGCAAAGTTATTTTTGTGGAAATAAAACAAACTAACTTTCTGCTTTTTTAAAAGTTCCTTGCTGCAAATCAATCATCACCATTGGAGCTAACAACTTGGGTAGCTTTAAAAATAGGTTGGACATGAGTGAGAAGGGTTGAGTATGAGGACCTGCATAGTATGTGAGTAGACCTACCACAGTGATCCTATGTTCTTATCCTTTTTCTTTTCCATTTTTTTTTTTTTGAAGGACTGGGCCCGAAGGACTACTACACTACTACTCTTATTTTTTTGTATGTAAATAAATAAATAAATAAATGTAGGTAGTAGGTTGGTAGACAGCAACCACCCAGGGAGGTACTACCGTCCTGCCAAGTGAGTGTAAAATGAAAGCCTGTAATTGTTTTACATGATGGTAGGATTGCTGGTGTCTTTTGTCTGTCTCATAAATATGCAAGATTACAGGTACGTCTTGCTACTTCTACTTACACTTAGGTCACACTACACATACATGTACACGTTTATTTATACACACTCATCTGAGTTTTCTTTGATTTTATCTTAATAGTTCTTGGTCTTATTACTTTTCCTTTTATATCCATGGGGAAGGGGAAATAAGAATCTTCCTCCGTAACCCATGCGTGTTGTAAAAGTCAACTAAATGCCGGGGGAACAATGGGCTAGTAACCCCTTTTCCTGTAAAGATTATAAAAAGAATAAGAAGAAGAAAAATTGTCAAAGTGGGAAGTCTGAATGTGCGTGGATGTTGTGCAAATGATAAGAAAGAGATGATTATGGATGTTATGAATGAGAAGAAACTGGAGTCCTGGCTTTAAGTGAAAACAAAGCTGAAGGGGGTGGGAGAGTTTCAAGGGGAGAGGAATAAATGGGATTGGGTTTCGGGGGTTTTCCCAAATGAGTTAGAGCTAAAAAAGGGAGTAGCAAAAATGTTGAAGGATAAGCTATGGCAGGGAAAAGGGGGACTACAAATGCATAAGTTAAAGGATTATGTGGAGTAAATAAAGATTGGATGTGAAAAGTGGGGTTATAGTAAGGTGTATGCACCTGGAGAAGGGGAGAAGTTTTAAGAGGGAGAGAGAGGAGATTCTGGGAAATGTTAAGTGAATGCGGGGGGGAGTTTGAATCAAGTGTGAGAGTAATGGTGGTTGGGGATTTCCAATGCTAAGTGGGTAAAAATGTTATGGAGGGAGTAGTAGGTAAAATTTGGGGTGCCAGGGGTAAATGTAAAGGGGGAAAGCCCTTAATTGAGCTATGTGTAGAAAAAAAATTTGGTAATAAGTAATACATATTTTATAAAAAAAGAGGATAAATAAATATACAAGGTATGATGAAAGCACGTAATGAAAGTAGTTTGTTAGATTATGTTTTGGGTGGATAAAAGGTTGATGGGTAGGCTCCAGGATGTACATGTTTATAGATGGGCAACTGATATATCAGATCATTATTTAGTTGTAGCTACAGTTAGAGTAAGAGGTAGATGGGAAAAGAGGAAGGTGGCAACAACAAGTAAGAGGGGGGTGAAAGTGTATAAACTAAGGGAGGAGGAAGTTCGGGTGAGATATAAGCGACTATTGGCAGAAAGGTGGGCTAGTGCAAAGATGAGTAGTGGGGGGGTTGAAGAGGGTTGGAATAGTTTTAAAAATGCAGTATTAGAATGGGGGGAGAAGTTTGTGGTTATAGAGGGTGGGGGCAGGGGGGAAAGAGGAGTGGTTTTGGTGGAATGATGAAGTAAAGGGTGTGTAAAAGAGGAAAAAGGTAGCTTACGAGAGGTTTTTACAAAGCAGAAGTGTTTTAAGAAGAGCAGAGTATATGGAGAGAAAAAGAAAGGTGAAGAGAGTGGTGAGAGAGTGCAAAAGGAGAGCAGATGAAAGAGTGGGAGAGGCACTGTCAAGAAGTTTTAATGAAAATAAGAAAAAATTTTGGAGTGAGTTAAACAAGTTAAGAAAGCCTAGGGAAAGTATGGATTTGTCCGTTAAAAAACAGAGTAGGGGAGTTAGTAGATGGGGAGAGGAGGTATTAGGTAGATGGCGAGAATATTTTGAGGAACTTTTAAATGTTGAGGAAGAAGGGGGGCCCGGTAATTTCATGCACTGGCCGGGGAGGTATACCATCTTTTAGGAGTGAAGAAGAGCAGAATGTAAGTGTGGTGGAGGTACGTGAGGCATTACGTAGAATGAAAGGGGGTAAAGCACTGGAACTGATGGGATCATGACAGAAATGTTAAAAGCAGGGGGTGATATAGTGTTGGAGTGGTTGGTACTTTTTTTTAATAAATGTATGAAAGAGGGGAAGGTACCTAGGGTTTGGGCGGGGGAAGCATGTATAGTCCCTTTATAAAAAGGGGGAAAGGGGACAAAAGAGATTGAAAAAAAATTATAGAGGAATAAGTTTAGGGAGTATACCAGGAAAAGTATATGGTAGGGTTATAATTGAAAGAATTAGAGGTAAGACAGAATGTAGAATTGGGGGATGAGAAGGAGGCTTCAGAGTGGGTAGGGGATGTGTAGATCAAGTGTTTACATTAAAGCATATATGTGAACAGTATTTAGATAAATTTAGGGAAGTTTTTATTGCATTTTGGATTTACAAAAGGCATATGATAGAGTGGATAGAGGAGCAATGTGGCAGATGTTGCAAGTTTATGGAATAGGTGGTAAGTTACTAAATGCTGTAAAGAGTTTTATGAGGTAGTGAGGCTCAGGTTGGGTGTGTAGAAGAGAGGGAGAATACTTCCCGGTTAAAATTAGGTTCTTAGACAGGGATTTTTGTAATGTCACCATGGTTGTTTAATATATTTATTTGATGGGGTTGTAAAAGAAGTAAAAGCTAAAGGGGGTTCGGGAGGGGGTGGGATTAAATTATGGGGATCAAATTTAAAATGGGAATTGGGCACAGTTACTTTTTGCTGATGTACTGTGTTATGGGAGATTCTAAAGAAAAAATTGCAAAGGTTAGTGGATGAGTTTGAGAATGTGTGTAAAGGTAGAAAGTTGAAAGTGAACATAGAAAAGAGTAAGGTGATGAGGGTATCAAAAGATTTAGATAAAGAAAAATTGGATATCAAATTGGGGAGGAGGAGTATGGAAGAAGTGAATGTTTTCAGATACCTGGGAGTTGACGTGTCGGCGCGATGGTTTATGAAAGGGTGAGGTTAATCATAGAATTGATGAGGGAAAAAAGGTGAGTGGTGCATTGAGGTATATGTGGAGTCAAAAAAACTTTATCTATGGAGGCCAAAGAAGGGAATGTATGAAAGTATAGTAGTACCAACACTCTTATATGGATGTGAAGCTTGGGTTTGGGAAATGCAGCAGCGAGGGAGACGGTTGGAGGCAGTGGAGATGTCCTGTCTAAGGGCAATGTGTGGTGTAAAATTATGCAGAAAATCGGAGTGTGGAAATTGGAGAAGGTGTGGAGTTAATAAAAGCATTAGTCAGAGGGCAGAAGAGGGGTTGTTGAGGTGGTTTGGTCATTTAGAGAGAATGGATCAAAGTAGAATGACATGGAAAGCATATAAATCTATAGGGGAAGGAAAAAAGGGGTAGGGGTCGTCCCGAAAGGGTTGGAAAGAGGGGGTAAAGGAGGTTTTGTGGGCGGGGGCTTGGACTTCCAGCAAGCGTGCATGAGCGTGTTAGATAGGGGTGAATGGGAGACGAATGATACTTGGACCTGACGATCTGTTGGAGTGTGAGCAGGGTAATATTTAGTGAAGGGATTCAGGGAAACCGGTTATTTTCATATAGTCGGACTTGAGTCCTGGAAATGGGAAGTACAATGCCTGCACTTTAAAAGAGTGGTTTGGGATATTGGCAGTTTGGAGGGATATGTTGTGTATCTTTATACGTATATGCTTCTAAACTGTTGTATTCTGAGCACCTCTGCAAAAGCAGTGATAATGTGGGAGTGTGGTGAAAGTGTTGAATGATGATGAAAGTATTTTCTTTTTGGGGATTTTCTTTCTTTTTTGGGTCACCCTGCCTCGGTGGGAGACGACCGACTTGTTGAAAAAAAAAAAAAATAAATGAGAGAGGAGTTGGATTTGAGAAGAACCAGCCTAGTATGGAACAGTAGGCATACTGTAGTACTCCTCTATTCTTATGATTGTAGTAGCTAATCTGAATATTTTTCTGGTTATTCTGATCATTTTTCACATTATTTTTTGGGTGGCTTGCACTCATAAGATAGGGATTCTTATTCTTTGGATCTTTATTTAGAAAAACTCTTCTATGGCTGTTAAAATACACTAACTCAATCAGCAAAGGTAAAAAAAAAAAATGCTCCAGAGATAGACAAGATATACACAAAACAGAGGAACAATAGATTAATTCATTGATAAGAGAAGGTTTGTGTGGCTGAGTTATCTCACCTCCACTAGAGAGTGTGGGGGCACATCCTCAGCTGCCTCTCTCTCTACATCCTCCAACACGTCAGAATCCACCGGAGCTTGCTCGTCAATGTTTAATACATCATTGGCTAAATTTTCTGCTATAGATAGGAGATTAGCTTCTTCAGGTGTCTCATTTATTTCTTCCCCATGTGATGCTTCACTTCCTGCAAGATATATACTCGACTGAGGCAAAATATGCAAAATAAAATGAAAAAACAAGATGAATAAAAACTGACTGAATACATGTTTTTACAGATTTCATGGTTTTTACATAATCACTCTTTTCAGGCACACACTGCATAAGATTCCACCCCCCCCCCCAAAAAAAAAAATCAGTTGAGTCAAATTCAAATTTTTTATTTCTTTTTGTTGCACAAATATAATGGTGTGTCAATGTAATAAACCACTGGAAGGCACAAAAGAAAGCCACTAGTATGCAAAGCATTCTGGGCATATTAATCATGATAAATATTCACTGACCCCAAGAAATCTTATAAGCATGCTTACATTTAACTCTTCAGTCATTTAACACCTAAGTAGGCTGATCCTAAGAAGAAAACATTCACCATTAATTACTTTCTAGCTATATTTTCAGAAGGGATAGATGCCACTGGTAAATGGTAAGCCAGCAAACTGCAACTTCCCCATCACATTTTCAGAATATATGAACTGTTTACCTGGAGTTTACCTGGAGAGAGTTCCGGGGGTCAACGCCCCCGTGGCCCGGTCTGTGACCAGGCCTCCTGGTGGATCAGAGCCTGATCAACCAGGCTGTTGCTGCTGGCTGCACGCAAACCTACGTACGAGCCACAGCCCGGCTGATCAGGAACTGACTTTAGGTGCTTGTCCAGTGCCAGCTTGAAGACTGCCAGGGGTCTGTTGGTAATCCCCCTTATGTATGCTGGGAGGCAGTTGAACAGTCTCGGGCCCCTGACACTAATTGTATGGTCTCTTAACGTGCTAGTGGGCACCCCTGCTCTTTATTGGGGGGATGGTGCATCGTCTGCCAAGTCTTTTGCTTTCGTAGTGAGTGATTTTCAGTGCAAGTTCGGTACTAGTCCCTCTAGGATTTTCCAGGTGTATATAATCATGTATCTCTCCCTCCTGCGTTCCAGGGAATACAGGTTTAGGAACCTCAAGCGCTCCCAATAATTGAGGTGTTTTATCTCCGTTATGCGTGCCATGAAAGTTCTCTGTACATTTTCTAGGTCGGCAATTTCACCTGCCTTGAAAGGTGCTGTTAGTGTGCAGCAATATTCCAGCCTAGATAGAACAAGTGACCTGAAGAGTGTCATCATGGACTTGGCCTCCCTAGTTTTGAAGGTTTTCATTATCCATCCTGTCATTTTTCTAGCAGATGCGATTGATACAATGTTATATTAATTCTCAACATCCAAAATTAATTCCAACTAGCTAGTCTTCCCAAGTGCCCCTACATAAATAAAAATATTATTTTACCAACTCCAGCAGTAAGTAAAATCCCACAGACCACATAACTTTAAATGCTGAAGGGCCCATCCATAAAACACCTTTAATACCATCCCTCCAACTCTTCCTAGGGCACTCACTACATATTTCATCAATCCACAATTTATACACAATTTAAAGTGCTCTATTTTTTCTACAAGACTAAACTATCTTAACAATCACCTTTCCTCTTTTTAGGAATTACAGTGGACCCCCGGTTAACGATTTTAATCCGTGCAAGAGGGCTCATCGTTATGCGAAATAATCGTTATGCGAATGAATTTTCCCCATAAGAAATAATGGAAATCAAATTAATCCGTGCAAGACGCCCAAAAGTATGAAAAAAAATTTTTTTTACCACATGAAATGTTAATTTTAATACACACAAACTGAAAAAGGCATGCATAATTAAATGACACTTACTTTTATTGAAGATCTGGTGATGATTGATGGGATGGGAGGAGGGGAGAGCATTATCTTCTTACTGTTTAGAAGGGGAATCCCCTTCCATTACGACTTGAGGTAGCAAGTCCTTTTCCGGGGTTACTTCCCTTCTTCTTTTAATGCCACTAGGACCAGCTTGAGAGTCACTGGACCTCTGTCGCACAACAAATCTGTCCATAGAGCTCTGTTTCCTCCCGTTCCTTTACGATTTGTCTAAAATGGGCCACAACATTGTCATTGAAATAGTCACCAGCACGGCTTGTAACAGCTGTGTCAGGGTGATTTTCATCTATAAAGGTTTGCAGTTCAACCCACTGTGCACACATTTCCTTAATCTTTGAAATAGGCACAATGGATTCCACAATTTGGCATAGGCTTCTCAGGGTTAGCCCCAAACCCTTCAAATCTTTCTTAATTTCCATACTAATTCCCTCACCCTTTTTACCACAGGGTTGGCACTAGAAGCTTTCTTGGGGCCCATGGTCACTTATTTTCCAGAAACAGCACCGAAAACACTGTAATAATACAAATATTCCGAGTGTATGCTTGGATGTTACCGCGGAGGCTGGCTGGTAAACAATGGGACGGCCGGCACATGTGAGGCTGGCTGAGGGCACATTGGACGCGTCTCGGACGAAAATCGGTAAGCGGGTTTTTAATCGGTATGCGCGGCAAAAATTTTGCGATAAAAGTAATCGGTATGCGGAAAAATCGCTATGTGATGCCATCGTTATGCGGGGGTCCACTGTATACCATTAATACCTCTCATCTTGTAATTTCTTCAGTACTATTTACTGCACAATATTCACATTACACACTAATTTATAACAAGGCACTGCCACTGCTTTCATCTTTTTCAACCTCCTCCTACTTGGTGTAACATTTAAATATCATATTTCACACCTTCACTCTGAAACAATCTCACTTTTTCCACACTCTGGCTGCTTCCCACCTAGGTAATGTGCACACCTTCCCTCCAACTGTCAGTCTTCCAGAAGTGTGGATTTTTGTATCTGACAAATTACTATGTTCCACAAACTCAACACTCCAGCAACTTTCTCTCCCTCTCATTCCTTCAGTCCTTAACCCTTTCAGGGTTTCCGATGTACTAGTATGGCTTACGCACCAGGGTTATTGACGTACTAGTACGTGTGAATTCTAGCGCCTTCAAATCTTGCGATAGAAAGCTGGTAGGCCTACATATGAAAGAATGGGTCTATGTGGTCAGTGTGCACAATATAAAAAAAATCCTGCAGCACACAGTGCGTTAAAAGAAAAAAAAAAACTTTGACTGTGTTTTTGGTTTAAAACAGCGACTTTGCACTGTATTTTCGTATGGTATTTATGGTTGTATTCTAGTTTTCCTGGTCTCATTTTATAGAATGGAAGACATATTACAGAAATTGATTGGTTTCACAATGAAAAGTACCTTGAAACTGAGCTCAAAGTAGCAGAAATGTTCGATTTTTGCCAAAGTTCAAAAGTAAACAAATCATGCCACGCGTCCAATACACATCAACTGGTAAGTCTAATATTCTTTCACAAGTGCACTGATATTATTTATACCATTTCTACACTAATGCAGTAGTCTGCATAACAATAAATCTTCTATTTTTTGTGAGAATAAAAATTCAAAGTGGAAGGCAAAAGAAATGTAAGAGGGGCCTGGGGACATGACTAATGAACAGAAGAAATGTTATTTTAGTGCCAGGAATGTCTGTCTTGTTTATTCTGAACCCTATTTGGAAATTGGCATCTTTTGTGTGAAGTTGGCAAAATTGCTAATTTCTGACCACTTTATTGGATAGTTGAAATCGGTAAATGGGTGGTTTCTTGTACTCGTTCGATAGAAAAAATGGAGTTCTAGCAAAATAGTTATGATTTTTTTTGACTAGTACACTGGAATTGGCCGAAAATAGGGCTCAAAGTGGACGAAATCGCCGATGCATAAACATCATCGAGACCGCTAACTTCGTGAGAGCATAATTCCGTAAGCTTTCCATCAAATTTCATACTTTTGGTGTCATTATGATCGGGAAAAGATTCTCTATCTTTTCATAAGAAAAAATAATTTTTTTTTCTGAAAAATTTTTGACCCTGAGACTAAGTTTAGGAGAGGGCCTCTCGACCCTGAAAGGGTTAAACTACTCTGTATTCTCATCTCCCCCCTTACCCTTTCTTTTACCGAATTCACTTTCAATTTCCTTCTGTTACACCCAAACTATTACCAACCTATACAGCTTCTCTTTGGATTCTCTCAGTATAACTCCCTACAAACAAAAATTACATGAGATTGTACTTTAAACCAGATTCCTATCTTTTAAATCTGCACTTCTCTCAAAACAAACAAATTTTTTTTTTAACAAGTCGACCGTCTCCCGCCGAGGCAGTGATCCAAAAAGAAAGAAAATCCCCAAAAAGAAAATACTTTCATAATCATTCACCACTTTCACCTCACTCATACATAATCACTGTTTTTTGCAGACATGCCCAGATACAACAGTTTAGAAGCATATATAAAGATATATAACATATCCCTCCAAACTGCCAATATCCCAAACCCCTCCTTTAACCCTTTGAGGGTCGACAGGCCCTCTCCAAGACTCGTTCTCAGGGTCGGCCAAATTTCAAAAAAAAAAAAAAAAAATTCTTATGAAAAGACAGAGAATCTATTCCCGATCATAATGACACCAAAAGTATGAAATTTGATGGAAAACTTACGGAATTATGCTCTCGCGAAGTTAGCGGTCTCAGCGAAGTTTACGCATAAGCGATTTTGCCCACTTTGCCTTATTTTCGGCCAATTCCACTGTACTGGTCGACGAAAAACATGAATATTTCACTAGAACTCCATTTTTTCTATCGAATGAGTGCAAGAAACCACCCATTTACCAATATCAACTATCCAGTACAGTGGTCAGAATTTAGCAATTTTGCCAATTTCACACAAATTTCAAAAGATGCCAATTTCCGAATAGGGTCCAGAATAAACAAGAAAGACATTCCTGGCACTAAAATGACATTTCCTCTGTTCATTAGTCACGTCCCAAGGCCCCTCTTACATTCTTTTGCTTTCCACTTTGAATTTTTATTCTCACAAAAAATAGAAGATTTACTGCTATGCTGACTACTGCATTAGTGTAAAAAATGGTATAAATAATATTGGCATACTTGCGAAAGAATATTAGACTCACCAGTTGACGTGTATTGGACGCTTGGCATGATTTGTTTACTTTTGAACTTTGGTAAAAAT